CTACGTAACATCTAGACCAGGGGTGCCCAAACTCGGTCCTGGAGGGCCGGTGTCCTGCAGAGTTTAGCTCCAACCCCAATTAGACACACCTGAACCAGCTAATCAAGCTCTTACTAGGCATACTAAAAACTTCCCACCAGGTGTGTTGAGGCAAGTTGGAGCCAAACTCTGCAGGCCCTCCAGGACCGAGTTTGGGCACCCCTGATCTAGACAGATTAACTTGACATCTCCAGCGTTAGTGGTACCTGATTTGCAGGTTCCCTTACGTTCTGCCTCTGGTTTTCCATCAGTTTCTTCTGGGTAAATGCAAACCAGCCCTTCATCGCATTTCCCCAGGTAGTCCCAGGTGCCTCCACAGCTTTCTCCCACAAGTTTGGCACAGGCTGGACAACAACCACAGATCCCAGTGGTGATTCCACCCTGACACTGGAGCTTCAGTGCTCGACGAGGGGAACAATGGATGCGTTCGCAGGGCGGACAGTGCAAGGCTTGGAGGATCTGCTTGCCCTCCAAAGTGGACATCTCCACAGCCATAACCAGCCACAAAAACACCAAGATTGAGAAGACGCATGGACTCATGGTTGGATTTCACATTACTGAGATGGGTCACCTTTTATATAATAGTCCTCACAACCGAGACCACATTTTACAACCACACACACTCAAAAGAAATCATTCAACTTCACAGCAACAAACTTCCTCCCTTCTTCACAACCAATGGATGATGAAGTGTTACGCTTGTTGAGTCTGGATTTGCTGTTAATTATCCCCAAGTCTTATCTTTACAATCGCTCTGTTGTTTTCTTTTTGTCTGAAAACCAATAAGTTGGACCAAGCGAAGAAGACTGGACCCTTTGTGCACAGGTCACGTGACCAATAGCAGTGGGTGCAATTCACAGTGTGATCGAGATAATCTGCCACGAGCAACAAGGACAAGATTAGGACATTGGCAGGTTATCTGAGAAGACCTGTGTGCAACTTTTTCATAAGCTGGTACACAATAAAACGCCGCTTTCAATCTGGCGTACAGTTTTCAGAACAGAACAGTTCTTCAAACAATCTCAAAGGTCATACCTTGACCGCTTTATACTTAATAAACGTCTACTGTAGATCAAATTATTAGATGATAAAATTTTGCATAAATGCAATTTTTAATGTGGGTTTTTTTTCATAAATTTTTTTCTGGTTAAATTAATGCAAAGTACAATAAAGATGACCCTTTTTACTTTCTTAATACAAATTCCTAGTCTTGTGAATGATTTATCAGTGATAAATTCATGCAAAGAATAAAAGAGTCAATGACTTTTTTTGTCCTGATGTATAAATGTATTAAAAAATACATTAGAAAAAAAAGCTTACACACGCATACCATTATACACACCTTCTGATGAGTTTAATTTCTTCATGAAAATTAATTTTGACATTTTTATAAAGTCAAACATGTCAGAGTGGTACAACTGTCCTAATATTGTAATGTAGAAAAAAAATCTTGAATGTCAAATTAAGGAGATAAAACGTGGTCAAACACTTTTACAGTATTTTGACTTCACGGAAGTTGCAGAAGTAGCCAGTGCCACTGATCTTTTCTTCCATATTGTGAAGCATATCCGAGGGTAATGGATAATGAAAAAAGTAAGGTGGGGAATTGATTCTATATTTCGGTTGTTGGATTTTGAGCACTCAAAAATGAATGTGAGCTTGGAGTCGATTGTGGGCGGGGTTTAAGCCAGTCCCTCCAAAATTTTGCAATTCTGTGATAGCAGAATTGAATGTAAAATCAAGCAAACTCACACTTCACAGCAGATAGCATTTTTAATGCTATTTTTCTGAAAGAAAAGATAAACTGAGGAAAGCAATATTAACTTAATATTAGCTATTAACAAATTATGTTCTTACTGCCACGAACACTAATTATGCCAAAGGGAGCACAGAAGTAGTTGTATAGTGGTTTCTCTACACGGACTGTTTAATGCTGCTCAGAGGTGGCATTAACACGGCATCTGTGACTATATACTTCTATATTAGGATATTAATGCTATTTTTCTGAAAGAAAAGATAAACTGAGGAAAGCAATATTAACTTAATATTAGCTATTAACAAATTATGTTCTTACTGCCACGAACACTAATTATGCCAAAGGGAGCACAGAAGTAGTTGTATAGTGGTTTCTCTGCACGGACTGTTTAATGCTGCTCAGAGGTGGCATTAACACGGCATCTGTGACTATATACTTCTATATTAGGATATAGGTCAAAGCAGGCATAATTGAATCTGGCTTTTATGTAGCATTGCATCTTTACGTGAAATTGCATCTTTAGGGAAGTCGTGGCCTAATGGTTAGAGTTGGACTCGTAAGCCAAAGGTTGCGGGTTCGAGTCTCGTACCGGCAGGGATTGTAGGTGAGGGGAGTGAATGTACAGCGCTCTCTCCCACCTTCAATACCACGACTGAGGTGCCCTTGAGCAAGGCACCGAACCCCCAACTGCTCCCCGGGCGCCGCAGCAAAAAATGGCTGCCCACTGCTCCGGGTGTGTTTGCTCACTGCTGTGTGTGTGTGCACTTTGGATGGGATAAATGCAGAGCACTAATTCCGAGTATGGGTCACCATACTTGGCCACAAGTCACTTCACTTTCACTTTACTGTGAAGCAGGAAAAAAATGCCACAAATATCACTGCAGCAAATTCAGTCATTTTAGGCCACAAAAATCATGAAAAAAAGTTCCACAAAATCCTGGTGGGACTGTTTAAGTGGATTAGATGATTGGAGAAGTCCAGAATGCCACCAGCGAGAAGTCTAAAAATATATATATATTTAAGGATAAATCATTCACAATAAGATTAATAAATTCTGTCATCATTTACTCACCCTCAAGTTGATGGTAGCCATTGAATTCCATTTTCACTTAACTGTGAAACAGGGAAAAAATGCCACAAATATCACTGCAGCAAATTCAGTCATTTTAGGCCACAAAAATCATGAAAAAAAGTTCCACAAAATCCTGGTGGCTGTTTAAGTGGATTAGATGATTGGAGAAGTCCAGAATGCCACCAGCGAGAAGTCTAAAAATATATATATATTTAAGGATAAATCATTCACAATAAGATTAATAAATTCTGTCATCATTTACTCACCCTCAAGTTGATGGTAGCCATTGAATTCCACAGTATGTAAAAAAAATTCTATGGGAGTCAATGGCTACCGTCAACTGTTGGTTACCAACATCTTTCAAAATACTCAACATAAAAAACTCAATACAGGTTTGAAGCAACATGAGGGTGACTAAATGATTAGTTTTCATTTGTGGGTGAACTATCGCTTTAAGTCTGATCAACAGCATTCCATTCTGTCAATTACCACGTAATTATGATCCATTCCTCAGCTAAGAATAAAAGACAATATAAGAAGCAAAAAAGACAAAACAATGGATTTTAAGCAACTTTTATTAAATTAGATCTTTATAAAACAGTGCAGAGTCCTATCATCGGCTTCACTGATCGTAAGTCTCTTTGAAGCATGTCTGTCACTGCAAGTTGTCGAAAAAATGGAAAGCCAAACACCTGAAAAGACCCTATGTCAACGTTCAGTCCCTTTTACATTAGCAGATCACACTCATTCATTGCTGGCATGGTTGAGGTCAAATTAGTAACTGCATAATGTGCTGCATTGAAAACATGTTAAATTCGTTAATATTCACGTATTTCGCTCTGCAAAAATTGAGGTAATGCTAATAACGCTGCAATGTATCTTCAAAACAGTTCATTTAGAGTGATCCTTTTGGTCTTAGACTTTTCATGTAATGCATTACGAGCTACAAACATAAAGGCGTTATTTTCAAAGCATTCTGCTTACATTAGGTACGCTACACTATAGATTTACTTATCTAAACAAATGAGCTTGTCTACGAACAAAAAATGAAACGTCTGATTGTAGACATGATTTATAAACCAGGAGACTAACATATCACCACTGTAGGCTGTATAGGTTGAGTTAATCGGCTTGGTTTGCAAAAGGAACATCCCATTCAAAAAGGATACCGACCGAAGCAGATCCAAGGACAGATCAATCCGGACCGAAATTTGCATAGAATGTCATTTATTTTCAAGAAATAGCAGTCACCGAACAATAACACTGTTGCCTGGACTGTGATGATTAATCGATACTGCAGATTCACATTTGTGAGAAGAGCCCCATTTTATCGGGTTTATTATTCCGACAAACATTGACCTAAATTCACAGATTAGAGAAAAATACAGCAGTTAACTGATTCTCTGCATAAACCTCTTTGAAGAGAGAGTGTGCATTGCGTGGGATGGCGTTCAGAGATTTCTAGCATGGTTCTGGTAGTGGGCCTGACTGGGGGGTAAGGTCATGCTGTTAAAGGTGTGTGGTTCAGAAATCAGCAAACGCTATCAATGGGTTAAGCCTTGGTCACATGAAATCCTCGTAGTCTTGTGCATAACCACCGCCGAACTCCCCGTAGTTTGCGAGATCATCTTTCATTGTGGCTTTTAAACCTCCTCCTGGTAAAACTCCCTTCTTTTTCTTTTTACCTTTGTTTGCCTATTCAATAAAAAATATAATATTTAGGACCATAAAAAATTTCAATAAAATACAAATTGTACATATGGTATGGTATATAGGAGTATTTTACATAAAAAGATAAAGCATCGAGAAGAAAAAAAAAATTCCTTGAGTTAGTAATTGTTTGCTATTGAATGAATGGTTTACCCAAAAATTAACATTTGCTAAAAAATGTACTCCGGCCAACCAGATAAAACAGATTTGAAGAAATGTAGCATTCCAGCAGTGAATGGGTGCCGTCAGAATGAGAGTCCAAACAGCTGATAAAAAAATCACAATAATCCCCATCACTCCAGTTCCTCTATTAATATTATAAATATATTTACACCCAGAACTATAAGTCAACTGATAAAAAAAAAATTAAACTAATACTTACGAGGTGAAAATGCATTTTGGGAGAAAACAACAACAACAATGTTCAGTTTGTCACCTACCAAATTATGCATTTCATATCACTGTACCTGACTTTTTTTCCTCCTTCTTTTCTTCCTCTTCATCATCATCCCAATTATCCTACATGGAAAATGAATTTAAACCACAAATTAGGACATTTCGTGATGGGTAGCATGAAGATAAAAGATTAACTGGACATCATTCATTTCACAGTTATAAAGTTAATCTGTCCTATTATGAAGAAGGCAAACTACTTTGAGACAGTAAGATAATTTGAGATGAGCAACAGGTGATATTGATATTATATTTTGCTTTGAAAAGGCCAAGTACAGTAAATTAGACACTAACTACACGCTACAAAGGTGTGGCTTTAGCATTAAAGGGGTCATATGATGCTGCTAAAAAGAACATTATTTTGTGTATTTGGTGAACTGCCGGCATTGTAGTCTAACGTTACTCAACCAGGATCAGTAAACAGTCCTCCATAAAATGTGCTGGACACATCTGGATATTTGGGTTAAACTGTTCTGGAACAGTGTGGTAAATACCACTGATTTGTAGTCGCGTCCTCTTTTGGAAGACCAAACAAAGTAGTTTTGCTTTCACAACGAAGCACACAGCGGCCTAGCATGAGCGGAAGCCCCGGCTTAGCGTGAGCAGAGGCCGGGGGCTAGAGTGAGCGGAGGCGGCGGGGTCGAGAACGGCGCGGCCGGCGGATCCGACGAAGGAGCGGCAACCACATGTGACGGACCCCGGGCTGGACTCCGCTCGTCTTCACGACATGGCGGCAGCAACAATACTACAGCGAGAATACTAAAAGTTACACCTTTCTTTGCGTGAACATTTGTGCGGCGTTATGCAAATCTTCCCACATAGTGAGGTAGATATGTGGGGGCGTGTTAGAACGAGCCGTTTTAGGTAGGCGTGGCTGACTCTTAACTTTTATAAAGAATATCTCTTTGGATTTGAGACTTTAGTCTTTGCAACTTTACAGATCTTCTTTATGCACCAAGAGCGTGTAACACTCCAAAGAGAAAGGAAAAATTTAAATTGCATCATATGACCCCTTTATATTAATATAATTGCTATGATTTCATTCCCTGACTTAAGACAGCAGGTGTACGCCTATGCTAATAACTAACTTAACTGGACACATATTACGCTAAAGCTCATCCTCACCGCGCTGTTTTTACACTCTTGAGTTAGCTAACTGTAACTTCTTGGCAGATGAGAGACTTTCTCAACTGTTAAAGAATAAACACAATTTTTGATTCGCGAACGACAAATAAAGCATTCGCTACTAACTTTCACGTCGTCGTCTTCATCCTCGCCCTCCCATTTGTCATGAACTGCCGCCTTTTTGATAGGCTCCTCGGTCTCGAAACTATCCGCGTCTTGAAAATAACAGCGTGTTTAGACAGATTACTTAATGACAGCCGTGATTCATGATGACAGTCTATTAGATAAAACATATTAATATAAATTCGTACTGTCAGAAAATAAAAATAACGGTAGAGTTCAGTGAAATTCTCACCCCAAGAATCGGCGTCCGCCATGATGTCGGAGTGGCTGAGGGAAGTGAGGGCGTGAAGCACACCGCACTGCACGAAGACTTCCAGAAATGTCAAAATAAAGGCCCTCAGTCGCATATGTAAGGCATGGCTCTCTTCAAAGCTAATAAATTGTGTAATATGAAGAATAGTGTTCCTAAATAGTATCAGTTTATTAGCTTTTTGTAGCTTTTACTCCATGTGTGTTAACCTTGTGGTCATCTACCCTGATAGCACATGTACATCACTGAGGTGTCTATTTGACATCTGCAAGACCTATTTTGTAGTGTTTGCTCATCTGCAATACATCTATAAGATGATACCTATCAGATATAGATGTTTAGAAGATGTCTTTAAGATGTTTGTGTATGTAAAACTGAGATGTTAAAGACGTCTATCAGATGTTTGTACACAGCAGATGATTTCCAGATGAAGCGATCTTTAACAGACAGCTTGCAGACATATGTGTGCTATCTGGGTAAATAGTATCAGTTTATTATATTTTTGTGGCTTTTAGTCCATGTGTGTTAGCCGTCTGCAAGATGTCTGTTAAAGATCGCTTCATCTGGAAAGAATCTGCTGTGTACAAACATCTGATAGATGTCTTTAAGATGTCACATATGTTTTACATACACTCTAAATCATACACATCTTAAAGACATCTTCTAAACGTTTATTTGACATCTGATAGGAAACGTCCTATAGACGTATTGCAGATGAGCAAACACTCTAAAAATACTTTTTGCAGATGTAAATGCAGACGTGGACCCCTAGTAGTCCTTGACGTAAGGCCAGGGGGTCCGTATAAAGTATTAATTTTTGTATAAATTGTGTATATTTTGACATGACATGTTCCCATGAAAGAAAAATCCAATATAGCTGATGATATGGCCAAATACTGGACAAGTCAGCTAACTTGAATTATACTTGACTGCATTTGGTCCTCACAAAGACACAAATGATACATAGATGAGTCAATTTTGTTCTGGGGGTCCTTGAGGATGGTTCTGAATTGGACTGGGGTACGGTACGCCAAAAGGTTGAGATTCACTGCTATAGTGCACTCATAACAAAATGAGCTTTTAGCAGATATAAGCTCCTATACACATTTAAAGTTTACTTTCTTCTTAAAAATGGACCAAAATGTTGATGATCTCATCCTACACTACGCCGATTTCGTCCAATCAAATTCTCACTACAGTGTCCCTCCCTCCCCCTGCAACCAACTAAATATTTGTGGGCAAAATCCAGTCTTTTTAATAGGAATCCATGCAGTTTGGAATTTTGCGTGAGGGTGAAACATTTCCTCACACAGATTTTGCATTGGGTTCAACCCCTGATAGCACACGTACATCACGGAGACATCTATTTGACGTCTGCATTTACTGTACATCTGCAAGACATATTTTTAGAGTGTTTGCTCATCTGCAATACATCTATAGGGCATATCCTATCAGATGTCAAATAGACGTTACGTCTTTAAGATGTTTATGATTTAGAATGTATATTAAACTGACATCTTAGAGACGTCTATCAGATGTTTGTACACAGCAGATGCTTTCCAGATGAAGCGATCTTTAATCTTGCTGACGTATGTGTGCTATCTGGGACTGGTCATGTGAATTCGCCATGTTGACCAACAGAAAGTTGCTTGGTTTGAAAGTGACTTTTGAGCTGTGCTTCATATACCACTACACTATTGACAATAGACAACAGATGCTTTACCAACGAATTTTCATCAAAATCTTGCTAATTTGATCACGCTTTAACAAGTAGCAAATCCTGCACTCTCCGAAATCCCTGCCTATACCCTTATATAGTGCACTATTTGAGGGAACAGCCATTGTTGTGGTGTCTGAAACCATTACATAAATGAGTGCACTCATTCAATCGCATAATACACTGCAGTAACAACCAATGTACACTCAACGGCTGGCAGTTAAAAATACCTATGCACGGTGTGGGTTGTACAGGAATTTATTCGGCGTGATGCATACAGTGCATGGGTAGCCGTTAGCTACACTCATTATTGAGGTGAATTATGGGATTGAATGAGTGCACATAATGTCCATTATGGACAAATGGCTGTCCCCTCAAATAGTGCACTATATAAGGGTATAAGGGTTGGGTTTTGGACACAGCTGGGATTGTACTGTTTTGCATACTACATACTGTAACATATGCTTTATAAAGTGTGCAGTATGCAGTGTATACAGATGTAGTATGCACACAATTACAGTTCTCTTCCTAGACTTTAATAGTAGCTACAGTTGTCCTTTGTATTATTTTTTACATTTGTTGACATTAGAAATGGAATTTCCTGTTATAGCGATTAAATGTTTTTATCGTTGCTGTGTTTGACTGTCTCTTTAAAAAATAAAAAAAAATAAAAAAACACTCATAAAGCGCTTCATTGTCCCGGGATGCTGAGGGTGTGTGTATAAGCTACATCCACGTTCCTCAGCATCTGTGGTTCGTTAAAGACATGTCCTAATATTTGCTCTGTAAATGTCTGAGCAATACAACGAACAGTATATATTTGGCTGAGCAACGCCAAACTGGCTCCGGTAAGCATTTGTTCGTTTTAAAAGCTTATCGTCGGTATTAAAGTATGTGGTAGCCGCTTCGATTTTAGTCAGTTTTATATTAACTGCCCTGAAAGACAAAATACACATCCTGCTAAAGCTCATCGCCACATGTTATTGTGATGTTATTAGAGTGAGTGCAGGTCTTAAGCGCGTGCACATGCATGTGGCGTCTCAGTGACAATGAAACGGCGTCGTATCTTTATATTCTCTGCATATGAGGCGGGCAAATGTTTCCTATGATGTTATGTGCAGAAACAAGAATATTTTGTCCTCGATTTTAAGGATTAGAAGTTTGTATTCATTTGGGCTGTTGGGAGTCCTGGTCGATGGGTGTTGCAGTAATTCCGTCTCGAGATCACCGCTGGATATGAGGCTTATTTGGTGCTGAAGGAGGTTCACTGAGAAACTTTTCAAAGCATTTAAAATTCAGAATTGCAAGAATGTTTTGTGAAGCTGTTATATATGGCAATAGCTGTAAAAAAAAAAACCCTGAGGGGTTTTCTGACCATACAACCATGCTGAAAATGCATCTTAAACCTGCATAAACTGCTTTCGTGGTCTTTTGGCTGGTTTAGAGGGGGTTTTGGGCTCTTAGATGGTGTTGGTCACACTTAGAGACCAGCTAATACAGCTCAACACCAGCTTGGCCAGGTTTGAGACCAGTTTAAACCACCTAAGGCCAACAAAGCTGTAGTTCTTGCTTAGGCTGATAATTGTATTTATTTATTTCAGTAGGGAACTGTCCAGACAAAAGCATTTACATTTAGATGAGACAGCAACTCCCTGCAGATCTAGGTTGTACTTGCACCTTTAAATTTCAGACCATGTCTGACAGATTCTGTGTTTGTGTAATTGTCCTTTACCAGACCATTTACTTTGTCAGATGTGAGCACATCCTTGTATTTTCCTTTTCTTTTAAGCAATCTTTTAACCAGTTATTAACAGTATACATCTGATCAAAAAGTAATAGAAAATATGGAGATGTAATTTTAAATATGTGGTTTCTAGGCCTGGAAAAGTCTTTGAATGTCATGGAAATTTATGATGAATCACGAATCCCAAAACATAGAAATGTATTGTTCAAAATGTGTGTGAACCCCTGTAAATGCTATATAAATTTAGTGGGCAAAAGATGTGGGAACCCTGCTTGTAGTTCAAGTGACATCAAGAAACATAATCTATATAAATCTAAGTTTTAGTGCATTCAGATACTGAAAATTGTTGATTTCGAACCTATTTAATTCACAAAGGCTGCGATTCAATTAAATAAATATATGCGCTGCGGGTTTAATATGCACTTTATTTATATGATTGTAGGTTATGGCTCTGTTCACAGTAAATGCTGCTCCACACAAGATAAAAAAAATAAAATGAAAATGTAAACCATCGCTCTGAGTTTGCATGTTTTGATGTCCACATGCTCTTGTTCAAGAAATGACAGTGTAGCATTTCTATCATAAAGAAGTGGACAAATATTAAAGATTAAGTGGACATTTGAATTAAATATTGTCTAGTCAATATTAAACAAGGATTAGATCGCACTATAATGTGTAAAAAGAGTTAAAAAAAACTTTTAATTTGCAAAAAAAGTTATGATTTATTGTTTTATTACATTATGTATTTTAACTGTTTCGTACAAGCCCCCATGGCTGAGGACGAGGTGGATGAAGAAGAGACGGAGGAAGAAGCAGAAGAGGAGAACAGTGAAGAAGACAATGTTGGGTTTTTTCACTACGATGGGAAAGAAGCAGAGTTGAACAACAATGAGATCCCACATAAAGGTGCTTACGGCTTTCCCAGAGATGGCAGAAGTCGTCCTCAAGTTTCCAGTTGTGCTAAAGTGGGGCAAGCAAGTGATGCACTTAGTAACTATAGAAGGAATCAGGACATCCCCAAACACCTAAGGGATGTCCCTCAAGGGTCAAGTTGTCCTCCCAGGGATCCAATGGAAAGGGTACGGGAAGAGTGTGCCAGTGACTGTCCAAAAGATTGTGATGTCCCTGTGGTCAGAGAAGGTAGAGGAGACCCTAGAAAAAGTTTCAGATATAGAGGACATCAGTCGAAGAGAGTACACAAAAGAGACATCACTTACGAGGATGGTAGTGGGGTCAGCAATAAAGCTAAGTTTGCAGATCCAGAGGACAGAGGCGTTTGGAAAAAAAGAAATTTGCTAAAATACTCTAGAGAGGACGACAGGGACAGAGATGGGAAACATTCACACAAGCAAAGTAAAAGTCCTGGAGACAGCAAAAACACAGGACAGGACCATCCTGTTTGTAGTCATAAAACAAAGGGTGGAATAGAAAGAAAGAGCATTGGGGATGTTGAGGAAGAGCAGATTGAGAACAGATTTAAGACCAAACTCAGAATTTCTCCAAACAACTCAGGGAGGGACAAAGGTGCATCTAAACAGACAAATAATGGGAAAGAGGCTCCTGATAGTTCCAGGGCCTCTTCAACATCATCAGACAGGAGAAGCAGCCAATCCAGAGCCCATGTTAATACACCTGTACAGTCCCCAGTTAAACGGCTACATGAAGACTTGGCCAAACCTGATGAAAAGGAGAAGACAAGGCCTAATCAGGAACAGGTAACTG